TGTTTCTGGTGTCTTTTCTTTGATGTTTATTCATTGTGGCAGAGGGTTTCACAGTCCACAGGTTTGACACTATTGCCTGACTAAGATTTTGTTGGGGTTGCCAATTTGGTATGGCTATCTCAGTGATTACTCAGTTGGACACTAGTGTCAGGCAAGTCCAAAATTGACTACCGGGAAGATGGCAGGGCGTTCACGCCGCTCCCTCCGGTGAGTCTCAGCTCCCGCGTTGCGCTCCCGCAGCAGCCTCTGCAGCCGGAGCCGCCCCGGCAGCCTCTCGCCGCCCCTGGCGCTCCTGGCTTCTGTTCACGCCGCAGCCTGCTCAGTCTCTCTTCGGCTCGCAGTTCCAGCAGCGCCCGGAGCTGGGGAGGTGACAGCCCCCTCCCCGGCAGATACTGCAGTCACTGGACCCCGAGTCCCGGTGGCGGAGCTGCGCAGACTGGCCCGGTGCTGAGGGCAGCAGCTGCGAGGCCGGGGGCCGAGTGGCGGCCACTCCCGGCGGCTTCTTCCCGGGGAGGATTTTGTAAATTTCACAGAATGGCGTGCACTCCAAACCTCAGTGCACGTATTATGAGAGTCCCCTTCAAGGTCTCAGCAATCCTTCAGAGCAATCCACCTGGGTAGTAACAGCTACCCCCGGTGCAAGCAAGGGCACCAGAGATTCTAACAAACCATCAGGCTTTCTGAGTTCCTCTTCTTGCTGGTGGCCTCTGGGATCCTGCCGGCGCAGGGTGCAGGCGGTTCACTCCCTTCTCGCCGCCATGTTTCTTCTGACTATTCTGTCTTTTTTGATAATGATCAGTCTAACTGGTGTGAGATGATATCTCAACGTGGTTTTGATTTGCATTTCCCTGATGCTTAGCGCTGATGGGCATTTCTTGTGTGTCACCGCTTATAAGCCAGCCAGAGATTGAGCATTTCTTTTTCAATTCCATCAAGTAAATACTAGTGTCTTGATTTGGATGCATGTGTACAGCACAGGGGTCTGAGAGCTACGCAGAAGTGGAAGTCTATTCTTCTTTTCTTTCCTCTTCTCTGCTCCTCTTGGCTTCCTACTGAAACGTCAACGGCAATTTCTTCAAGTCTCTAAGAAAATACTCCTTGAATGGACATGTATCCTTCTGCTTTGGGGCACATTTTACAACTGTAGATAGCATGGAAGAGGGCAATACACACGATCAGCATCCTTGATGGGCCTTTGCCCAAGATCCTTATCATCATGATGGGCTTCCTGAACTCGGCTCCAGTCTGCCTTCAGGGACGCGTTTCTGATTGGCAACCACTTTCTAAACTCAAGTAGGGTTTTTAAGGGTCAAGAGTTTTAACATCCATGAAACTTTGGATTAATTTTCATTTTCTTTTACTTTTCTACTTTACTGATCATGTCATGGTTCATTAATTGAAGTGTGATCCATTTAGAGTTATGTACTACTGAAAGAGAAAATACACCAGCATTTGAGTGAGTAGATATCTCTGGCTTCTGATTTCTTAGAGGAGGCCATTGCTGAAACTATTTATAAACTAGAAATTTAGATGGTTTTTAAAAAAATCTTGATGTTAAAGTGTTGAGATCGTGTGTCATTATGTCTAAAATGTTCTCAGAACTTATATTTAAGTATAAATTCCTCAAGAGCAGGGATTTTTCTGTTTATCACCATCTACCTCATGCCTGGAACAGAAGTAAGTCAGGCACTATTCATATCTTCAGGCCTCATGATCAGTGTTGAAAACGTGTGTCTGGAGATTATTTGAACATGTGATATAAAATGGACACTTGTACTGGACTGCTGTTGCTATTGTTCTTCATTCTTTCCAGGCACCAGTACGTAACCCAGACCAGTTCAAAGCTCTTGGATTGGTGACTCCAGCTGGAGTCCTCCTTGCTGGTCCTCCTGGCTGTGGGAAAACTCTGCTGGCAAAGGTATGGTGTAAATTCAAATGCATGTATTTTATGAGTGTTTTATTCTCCGTGTGTGTGTGTGTGGGCGTGTGTGTGTGTGTGTGTGTGTCTGGAAAGGGGATCCCGAACCCTTGACCAGTACTATCAGCACCACACTCTACCGAGTGAGCTAACTGGCCAGCCCTTTTACGAGTATTTCTTACTATCAGGTAGGATAATATGAATTTAACTTTAAATGTTACAGTGAGGTAAATTGTTTGTTTAATTTCTATTAGAAGTGCATTTTAGCAAAACTGACAACTTTCTTTAGGAAAGTTTCCTACTTTTTTTCTTTAATTATAAAAGGTTGTAATTGAAAAATATTTAAATCAACCATAATCTCATCAATTTTAGCACAGCAATTATCATACTTTCTGTGTTTTATATTCTAGCTTTTTTTTTTTTTTCCTTTTTGTCTTTTTTTCGTGTCCGGCAACGGATCGCAACCCTCAGTGTCGCGCCCGTACCGGACCGGAACCGGCAACGGGATCGCAACCCTCAGTGTTGCTCCCACACCTCGCTCAGCCAGTGAGCGGGAACCGGTCTGTATGTGGGATCTGAACCCTCGGCTGGAGCGCCACCGCACTCCCAAGTGGCGCACTGTAGCAGTGCGCCACCGGGCTGGCCCTATATTCTAGCTTCTTAGTGAGTATTATTACATAGTTGTAGTTTGTAGGTGATCTCGTTTCCTGTTTTGGTGTAGTTATTATTTATAACTTAAATATTTTCCTCTATATTCCTTATAAATATTTTTAAAAATTGATTTTTCACAATAGAAAATATAAATAAGCAAAAGGGAAAAGGATTGATTATAATTCTCCTACGACTGTCTATTACTAACCACTGTTTTATTTTGTTGTTAATCCTTCCAGATATTTTTCTGTTTCCTGATATCTTTTCAGTTATTTTCAAGATAATATAAATAGCTTCTACACATATAACTATGTGTTTCTTAATATTGACCCTTGGTAAAGACTGATATGATGTTTTTGAGTTTTGGTTTGTAAATGAATGAATGATTGCTTTTATTGCATAAGGCATTTCTTGAGTACAGAGATTAGGATTTCACTGGAATTCCAAGCTAGTGCTATAAAGGTATTAACATGAGCATGTTTATGTAAATAAGATATTTACAGAAATTTGTCATTTCCATTTGATTTATAGTCTGTCTTAGTAATTCTTAGAAAGTTGTAGGTAAACTTTTACTTCCTTTGATTTTCCTTTTATTAATTTCTCATTTTCCCATTTGTCTGTTTTTCTTCTCATAAGAAAGAGGCAACTATGAAAAGGAAAAACGAGTTAAAACCACATAAAGTCATTGCATTGTCAAAAATTGTTATTGTTATTCTTTTATTGTATATTTTTCTAATTTCTGTTTGTTTGTTTCCTCTTACTAGGCTGTGGCAAATGAGTCTGGACTAAATTTTATATCTGTCAAGGGCCCTGAGTTACTAAATATGGTAAGTTGTTGTGGCAGTGGCCATTATTTTAGATTAGGAAAAGTAAATGGTCATTCAAATTACAGGATAAAGCTATTTTCAGATCTTTGAACAATTGTGGTATTTTGGTAAAATCAGTGCTGTAGGGGTGAGTTTTGCTCTACTACTTAGGGTATATAAATGCTTTCTCAGTTAGATCTGTTAACCTTTGCTATAGTTGGATATGGTTGTTCCTACCAAAACTATTTGAAACCTGATTCCCAATGTGGCAGTGTTAGGAGGTGGAGTCTAGTGGGAGGTGTTTGGATCATGGGAGCAGATCCCTCATGAGTAGAGTAATGCCCTCCCTTGGAGTGAGTTAATTCCCTTGAAAGCTGGTTGCTAAAAGGAGCCTGGTACCTCCCCTCCTTCTCTCTTGCTTCCTCTTTCACCATGTGATCTCTTTACACACACTTGCTCCCCTTCTGCTCTCCACCCGAGTGGAAGCAGCCAAAGGCCCTCCCCGGGTGGAACTGCTGCAGAATTGAGAGCCAATAAAACTCTTTTCTTTGTAAATTACCCAGTCTCAGGTATTCTGTTATAGCAACACAAATGGACTAAGACAACTTCTGAGCCTGGGTTTTCATACCTGCAAAATTGAAATAATTTATTACAATTATTAATATTATAATGTGTTTACTCTGTGCCATGTATTTGTCAAACACTTTTTTTTTTTTTGTCTTTTTGTCTTTTTGTCTTTTTCTGTGTCCGGCAACGGATCGCAACCCTCAGTGTTGCCCCCGTACCGGACCGGGGACTGGCAACGGGATCGCAACCCTCGGTGTTGCTCCCGCGCCTTGCTCAGCCAGTGAGTGGGAACCGGTCTGTATGTGGGATCCGAACCCTCGGGCGGGAGCGCCGCCGCGCTTCCCAAGTGGCGCACTATCCAGTGCGCCACCGGGCTGGCCCTGTCAAACACTTTTTTATATATTGTTTTCTTTGTAGTTTAAAAAATTTTTTTTGATTCATATATTATTCTTTTTTAAAATTTCATTTATTAATATTATCATTTTTATATATTCTAAGATATTGTGAAGCAGTTGGAGGGAGGGGAAGAGGTGAGGGGGAGAGAAATAGCGTGGGAGGTGGAGGAGGAAGGAGGTTGGGCATGGTCGAAGCCTGTGGCACCCCCCTCATTCTGGCAGAGGAGACCAGGGGGCTTCCAGCAGTGGCTTGGTCATTTCTGGGCTGGATGCAGATGTTGGTGGGGTGTGGCTGAAGTCCTTGGTCCCCCACCACCCTGGCTGAGGAGCCCAGGGTGTTTCTGGTGGCAGCTCGGTGGTCATCGCTGGGCTAGTTGCAGATGTTGGGTGGAGCATGGCTGAAGCTCGTAGACCCCCACTACTTTGGCTTGGAAGCCTGGGGCATTTCTGGCATCGGCTCATTGGTTGTGGCTGGGCTGCTTGTGGGTGTTGGGGACATTGCTGAGGCTCTGCCGGTCCTTCTAGGTTTTATAGGTGTTCTTTGATGAAGTGAGACCTTTACTAGTTAATATCAAACTTTGTCTTTGGCCTGTGGGTATTTTGTTTTTTCTTTCAGTTCTGTGTTGGATTATTCACTGTTCCCACCACTTAAACTCTGCACTAGAACCAATTTGTTGTCCTTTGCTTATTTCTAAAGTGGGGGAACTTCCTGTAGGGACCAGCACTTGAGCCCTGTGGTTGAGCTAAATTGCTTCTTTGCTGTTCATTGGGAAGCCTTTTTGTGTAGTTCAGGTTTTAATTGTTAACCTTGTGTGTACTTCCAGGTCTCGTGAGTTCTGGTACACCTGGGTTGTGTGGAAACTGTGGTCTGGGCCTGAGTATTTTCAGCACATTGCACCCGTACAGTTCTATATTCCTGACCAGTCTCCACTGAGTGGTCCTGTGCTGACTGGAGGGCAGATCAGCTGTCCATGCTGTGCCCCAGTGTTTCCCCAGTGGGCGGGCCATGACTCACCACCCTCTGAGTGGCTCCTTTTTTCAGTTGTCTTTGGCTCCCCACTCTTATGTGGGTCCATGGAAATGATGTTAGTGGTCTTGTAGGCCTGCGGGCTACCAAGGCCCTGTTCTCCACTGCTGCCTTCAAGCAACTTCATATGAAGAGCACAGCAGCAGCTTTTGCCAGCTCTCTGTGCACTCACCAAGGCCAGCCTTGAAATGGCTGAGGCTTGAGATGGTGGGAACAATCTTTTATTTCTCTCATCGTGGCTTCCGCCTTCATGAACTCCATAGGTCTCTTCTCTCCTCTGACCTCTAGCGGCCCCAGCTTGGCTGTCGTTGCTTTTTAATAGTTGTAGATTTGTGGGAGAGAGTAACACTTGGGGACCATCTATTATGCCATCTTGACCAGAAGGCTCTCATATATTATTCTGTAACAACCCTCTGAGGCATAAATTATTGTTTCCTCCAATTCACAGGTAAGGAAACTTAACGTTGGAGAGGTTGTATAACTTGCCAAAGTCTGGTAGCTAGGAAGCAGAGCCAAAATTTGAGTCTGGGTTTTCTGACGTCTGATCTCTTTCCCATCCTGTTGTGTGGCTCAAATGAGTTAAGTATTAAAAAATAAAAATACTTTTGGGGAAGGAAGTCACTAAAGTGCTATATCTTATTTCTGCATTTAAGCAGTTTATATCTCACATTTAAGAGACTTTGAATTTCTTATTTCCTGTCCCTATGAAGTAAAAATGACATTCTGTAAAATATTCAAAGAAGAAATGAGAGAGATAACATTTGTTTTAAAAGGCCCTTTTTCGGGCCAGCCCGGTGGCGCACTGCTGTAGTGCGCCACTTGGGAAGCGCGGCGGCGCTCCCGACAAGGGTTCGGGTCCCACATACAGACCGGTTCCCGCTCACTGGCTGAGCGAGGCGCGGGAGCAGCGCCGAGGGTTGCGATCCCGTTGCTGGTCCTGGTCCGGTACGGGGGCGACACTGAGGGTTGCGATCCGTTGCCAGACACGGAAAAAGACCAAAAAAAAAAAGGAAATAAATAAATAAATAAAAGGCCCCCCCTTTTGTTTTTTTAATCTTTCCTCCTGTATATTACTTTCTCCCTAAAATAAGGGATTTATACTTAAGTATCTCTTATGGGCTTTTTGTGTACCTCCTTACTTTTCTCACACTTCATTTTGATTTTGTGGGAGAGGAGGTATTAGAAATGAGCCTTGAATGGGAGTGAATTAGTGGCAGATGAGGTTGAAGAAGAAGGTCATAACCAGACAGTGAAAGGCTTTTATAGCAATCTAGAGTTTGGATGTAATCTTCAGAGTATCAGAGAGCTGATAGAGGCTTTAAAACAGACTGTAACTATTTTTAAAGATTGTAATTAAGAAAAAAGTGTTATAAAGTGTTTCAGGCATACAAGAAGTTATAAATAGTAATATAATGAGCCCCTGTGTATCTATCACCAGCTTAAAAAAAAGAAAACTATATACTTGAAGCTCTCTGCAGCCCCTCCCTAATGATGTCCCTTTTCTCTCTCCTGTAGACCTTACTACAGTCCTGAACTTGGTGCTAGTTCTATGTACTTCTTTCTATGTTTACTATATACGTATTTATCTCTAAACTAAATGTTATTATTTTATGTTTCAAAAGTACCGGGGCCGGCCCGGTGGCGCACTGGATAGTGTGCCGCTTGGGAAGCGCGGCGGCGCTCCCGCCCGAGGGTTCGGATCCCACATACAGACCGGTTCCCGCTCACTGGCTGAGCGAGGCGCGGGAGCAACACCGAGGGTTGCAATCCCATTGCCGGTCCCCGGTCCGGTACGGGGGCAACACTGAGGGTTGCGATCCGTTGCCGGACATGGAAAAAGACAAAAGACAAAAAACAAAAAAAAAAAAAAAAAAAAAAAAAAAGTATGATGTTTGTGAGACAATTGACAGTTTGAATATTTACTGGATACTTGATATTAAGGAAAATGTTAATGTTGAAGAGTGATAATAAAGTAGTTATGTTAACATCATTATCTGTTAGAGATACTGAAATATTTACAAATTAAATATAATATCTAGAATATCCTTCAAAAAAGTGAGGAAAGAAAAGTGGGCAGGAATATAGATAAACAAGATGAGTTAAGTTGATAATAATTGAAGCTGGGTGATGGGTTCATACGTAGTTCATTCTTCCATTATATGTACCTTAGTTATATGTTTGGAACTATACTCATAAACAGTAAAGCAAAAACAAAAATAAACCCACTTTGTGTAAGGCATATGTTCTTTTGCAACTTCATTTTGTTGTTATTTTGTTTAATATTTTTTAAATCACTACTCATCCTTTGAGACATTCAGTGTTCTATAAATTTATCTTTGATACATTTACCTCTGTTTTATTAATTTTGTATTTTATTTAATTTTACATTGAATGAATATATCTACACTTTCAAAAAGTCAGGTTTTTTTCCTTGATGGATATTTAGGTTGAACATTATATACATATATCCTTGTGGGTATTTGTGAGATTTTTTTTCCCCCTAGTATATATACCCTGAAGTAGAATTGCTGTATCTTAGAGTATGTGCGCTTCCAAAAATACTAGGTATTGCCAGCTTTTTGAGGTGGTTATATCAAATTGCTCCACATCTTCACCAGAACTGGTGGTATCTGATTTTCACATTTTTGCCAGTCTTATGAGTATGAAATTTTATCTCCCTGTTGTCTGATTTGTTTTCTAAGGGTAAGTGTGTGAAGAGGTCCATGGAAGATTACAGAATGACTCAGAGATTAGGTGATCTAATGAGGAAAATAGACAGCTTAGGGTTAGAAAATGAGTTTGCTCTAAGACATTTTAGATTTTAAGAGCCATTTGGAGATGTCCAGCAGGTAGTAAGAAGTGTGAGTCTGGGCTCTGAAGAGATTTGGGAGTCGGTATCATCTAAAACCCTGGGAATTGCTGGGGTCTGTAAGGATGAATATATCAAGTAAAAATATAAGAACAAGTATATTAAGGGCCTCTGACAGAACCCTGGAAGATACCAACAATTAAGGGGTAAGGAAACAAGAGCTGACAGAGGAGACTGAAAGTGATTGGTCAGAAGGTAGAGGACACCTAAGACTTTCTAAGTCCAAAAACCAAAGGAAGATAATTTCTTCAACCTGTCAATGTGACCAAACAGTATAAAAGAAACTGAACTTCAGATATGGCAATTAGAAGATTATTAGAGACTTTAGGGAGAATATTTTCAATATTGGTTTTAGTAAAAGCTATATTATAATGGTGGAAAACTGAATGGCTATTAAAGAATTACAGATAATAAGTCTAAGATCCTTATTTGAAATATTTCTTCCTCAAGGCCAAGATGGGCTTTTCTTTTGCTTGTATAGTTTTAATTACTGTTGTCTTTGTTGAGATTAAATTGATTTTAATCTGTCCTTTTGGAACTTTAGGTTCGCCTTCCCTTAAATTAAATTTCCTTTTACTTAGTCATTTTGTTATATCCAAAGTCCCTATGTCAGCTGTATTGATTGGTCTCTTCTGTCTCTGTCTGAAACTTTATCTCTCTCAATGCACTGATGTCTTTTCCTTTAAAATATCTACAGAATATTTTGGTTCAGCATTCCAGATATAATTTTTGCTGAATTAGATTTTACAGGAAAACCAGTCTACTATATTTGTATGCTGTACAGGATGTTATGAGAGCAGATTTTGAAAAGGACATGACTTCTGCTTTCCAAGGACTTTATAATATAATACAGTGAAGGTGTAAAAGCTCAAATATTATAATAGTACAAAGTGCTATAAGAGCAAAGAAGAGAGTAATGGGAGGAAGATAGTAATGCGGATCTTTTAGAGTATAAGAAGAAATGTTTGGAGGTAGATTGGAAAAGCAGTTTAAGTAAGGGAAGCAGAATTAGCAAAAGTTCAAAGAAAGTACGGGATGGGTGTGAGGAAAAGAAGTTCTATTCAAATGAGAGAATAGGGCTGGCTGGTTAGCTCTGTTGGTTAGAGGATGGTGTTATAGCACCAAGGTCAAGGGTTCAGATCCCTGTACTGCCCGGCTGCTAAAAAAAGAAAAAAAAAAGGAAGAATAAACACTCTAATCACTGACATCTGTGGTGTATTCTTTGCCTTGATCATTATTATGGCCTTATAGTCATTAAGTAACATAGATGACATCTTATGAAATAGTTGGCACTGTAAAGATGTTTCCAGATTCTGTCTTATTTACCAGTTTTATTAAAACCGTTTTTCTTGGTCAACTAGTTTGAAATTTTACAAGAACAGTTTCTTATGTGTAGCTAAAAGTGAAACCATATCCTTACACAGGACTTTTTATATTACTTAGTCCTAATATTGTAGCTGCTTGTGAAGTGCTATATATTTTGACTGATCTTAGTGTTTCATATTTTGATATAGATTTTAACATAGAATACACCATTATGAAACCCATTAGGTGCCCAGCTGGCTGACTTTTCCTCTTCTGATGCTGTATGACAAAATAGCTCTTCTTTATTTAGCAAGATGACTTGCGTAGAAATAATGCTAGAACAATCGTTTGTCTTGTGTGCATTTAAAAGACGTTGAATTAATGAAAATTACTGCTAGGGTTTTTGTATATGTAAGGCTTAGGAGATAATTCTAAAATACAATAGAATTATGGGGGTTTTTTGAGCTGGAGAAGCTCTTAAATCCCACTTAGTCTTCATTTTATAAATGAGGACATTTATAATCTTAAATATGCAGTTGACTATTTTTACAGGTCAAAAATGTTAAATACCAGCAATTACATATGGTTCAACCTAATACTTTTTAAATTCTGACTATAAATATTATTTAAATTTTGCTATCATTTGGCCCAAACCCCAAGTCTGAACTGTTTCTGCATTTTATTAATTTTCTGTGTATGTCTAGTATGTTGGTGAAAGTGAACGTGCTGTGCGGCAGGTTTTTCAACGAGCCAAGAACTCAGCACCCTGTGTGATATTCTTTGATGAAGTGGATGCTTTATGTCCTCGAAGATCAGACCGAGAGGTAAATATCATAGATTAGTGGTTTACAGATTTTTTTAAGGTTATACTTTTGTAAGTTCCAAGTCAGTTATTTCTTATAAAGTCATTTCTTGGGAACATTCTCTTTGAATGAAGAAATCTATTAATTTAAAATCAGAACTTAGCGATAACAGTTGTATTTTGCATCAGCCTCTGCATCCATTTTTTTCTGTATATTATTTTGGTTGCACAATGTATAATCCTGACTCATAAATGAGTGGTTGGGAATGGAAACGATACTAGTTTTGAATAGCTTGCCTTGTAGTCCTATGATACTTTTCAGTGAAATGGGTTCTTGAAACAAACAAAATATAATTTAAGACATCATGTGCTCAAGCTATGGTCAGTTTATTAGCTTTAAGACCCAAAAGAATTAGTACCTGGGGAAGATGTAAAATTGGTCTTCACTGAATACCACCTTCATCAACCACACTTAGTCACAGTTCTTATAGATTTCAGTACAGAGAATGCCAGAAACAGTTGTTATCAGGAATACAATTATGTAAAAATTCGAAGCATAACATAAAGAACATATAACCTTTCTGAAGCAGATAGCAATGACTATTTAATAAGTACATTTATTATGAGATGATAAGGAGGTGACTATATTTCTAAAATTGGAAAAATTTTTGGGGATTTATTTATTTATTTTTTTCTTTGTTTTGGTTTTTTGTTTTGGTGGCTGGCCAGTATGGGAATCTGAATCCTGGAACTTAGTGTTATCAGTACCATGCTCTAACCAAGTGAGTAACTGGCCAGCCTAGTGATTTCTTTTCTTTCTTCTTTATTTTTTTTTTTTTAAAGATGACTGGTAAGGGGACCTTAACCTTTGACTTGGTGTTGTCAGCACCACGCTCTCCCAAGTGAGCAAACCAGCCATCCCTATATAGGGACCCGAACCTGTGGCCTTGGTGTTATCAGCACCACACTCTCCCAAGTGAGTCTCGGGCTGGCCCTTGATTTATTTTCAAATAGTTATTCTGTGTGTGTTTCTGTTTGTCTGTGTGTGTGTGCGTGTGTGTGTGTGTGTGTGTATTCTTAGGTTATATAACATTTATTAAACACTTCATTTCATTAAAAATCTGTAAAGATATTGAAAAGTTGTAGAAACAAAAGTTGACTATTATAAATGTGACTCACACCATAGCAATTTTGTTTTCTCATCCAGTAGTCATCAATGACCATCACAGAAAATCCTGTGTTATCTCTGATAGTGATCTCAGTAGCTGAGGCAGAGATTCTTCCCCTGTTCCCCTGTCATATTTCAAAATCTAATGTGGAATCCAGAGCAAAACCCTATTTGATATATCCAACTAGCTGGGGCATAACATACTCTGGATTTATTCCTTTTTATTTCTTTCTCTTTTGCCATAAATAAGCCCTTCATTTGTCCACAGCACCTTTCATCTTTTGCAGCTCTCTGTTATCAGCTGCTAAATCCAAATTTGAAGGAGTTCATTCTCAATTACTGCCTTCATGGAAGTCCGTAGCCATATGAAGTACATTTTTAACATCTAGGTTATCTATTTCTTAGATATCTACTACCACACATTTCTGTACTCTAATATATATGGTTTGCTTTTTTAACATTTTCACCTTCTGAAGGGGATTCTAAAAATTAAATTTTTTTTTTTTCCTTTTTGTCTTTTTTCGTGACCGGCAACGGATCGCAACCCTCAGTGTCGCGCCCGTACCGGACCGGGACCGGCAATGGGATCGCAACCCTCGGTGTTGCTCCCGCACCTCGCTCAGCCAGTGAGCGGCCGGTCTGTATGTGGGATCCGAACCCTCGGCGGGAGCGCCACCGCGCTCCCAAGCGGCGCACTATAGCAGTGCGCCACTGGGCCGGCCCAAAATTAAAATTTTAAATTTGAATGTATTTTTTAAAAATTATATTAGTTATACATGAATACATGCTTGTGAAAAATTCAAATAAACCACAAGTATAGACAGAGTGAAAGTCTTCCCATTCGTCTTCCTCTTACTCTTCTTGGAAGTTACTAATACTAATAGTTTAGTGTTTAGTATGTATCATTCTAGAACTTTTTTCATAAACTTAAAAACATGTATAGTTTAGACTTGTTTTTTATACAAATGTGGTCATTCTATCTTGACAATTTTCTCATATTATTAATAACTTTTTTTTAACTATTGCATAATATTCCACAGTCTGAATACAGCATAATTTACTTAATAATTCTCCTGTTTTGGACATTACATTGTTTCCAGTTGTTTCTCTTACAGAGAGAACTGTACTAAAATTTGTATCACATATCTGTGTGCATATGTGGGAGTATGTGAGATACAGTTCTGGAAGTGGAAATCAGGGTTGAAGATGTAATACGTATTAGATTTTGAAAGTTAATACTTTATCATCCTTCACAAAAACTACCACTTACATATGCCCACCAATAGTGTGTGAAAATAACCATTTCCCATGCCTTTGCCAATGATGGATAATATCTGTCTTTTTATTTTATTTATTTATTTTTTTGGCAGCTGGCCAGTATAGGTACTCAACCCTGTACTTTGGTGTTATCAACACCATGCTCCAACCAACTGAACTAACTGAGAAATCCCCCCAACTTTTTATTTTTTGTCAATTTTATTGGTAAAACATATTAAATTTTACTATGCATGTCACTGATACCAGTGAGGTTGACCACCTTCAGTGAATTTTATTTCATTTTCTATAGATTACCTGATCATATCCTTTGACCCTTTTGCTATTGAAGTATTTTTCTTTCTGTTTTTATTGTTTTATTGGAGCTTTTTATGTATATTGGAAATTAGTCCTTTGTCTAGATATGTGTGTGATACTATTTTTTTCCAGTCTTGTCACTTATCTTTAATTTTGTTTATTATATAGAATGTTTATTATATAGAATTTTAATATAATAAAATCTGGCAATTTTTTCTGTGTTGATTCTGAAAATTTTTTTGTATTGCTTAAATAAGACAGTGTTTGTTTTTTTAACCCAATGCTTTTTCATATTTTTTTAAATATGAATTTTATGGGCCAGCCCGTGGCTCACTCGGGAGAGTGCGGTGCTGATAACACCAAGGCCACGGGTTTGGATCCTATATAGGGATGGCCGGTTCGCTCACTGGCTGAGTGTGGTGCTGACAACACCAAGTCAAGGGTTAAGATCCCCTTACCAGTCATCTTTTTAAAAAATAATAATAATAATAAATATGAATTTTATTTTATTTTATTATTTTTTAAAAATTTTACTTCTCAAAATACATTGTAGTTGATTTTCATGCCCCTTTACCCATTCCTCTCCACACCCTCCCCTCCCCGCCCATCATAGCTGTTCACTTGACTTAAATAGTTCAAGGAATTTTTGTGGTTATTCTGTCTTTACCCCCACCCCCACTCTGTTTGTGTGTTTATTTATTCACTTATTTTTAGCTTCCACAAATAAGTGAGAACATGTGGTATTTCTCTTTCTGTGCCTGACTTGTTTCACTTAATACATTTTTCTCTAAGTCCATCCATGTTGTTGAGAATGCTAGTATTTTATTCTTTTTTATAGCTGAGGAGTATTCCATTGTGTAGATGTACCACAGTTTCCTTATCTATTCATCAGATGATGGACATTTGGGCTGGTTCTACTTTTTCATATTTTTGAGTTTGAATTGTAATTCTGTTAATCTCCTATCAGTGTTATGTCACCAAGGTATGATAATAAAGCAGACCAAATGTTTTTTTCTGGAGATATCAGTGGGTTAACCCCATTACCACCTCTGCACAGAAAATTTGTTGTGAAAATGTCCATTTTGCCCAAAGCAATCTACAGATTCAAGCAATCACCATCAAAATACAAATAGCTTTCTTCACAGAAGTAGAAAAAACAATCCAAACATTTGTATGGAACAACAAAAGACCCCTGCGTAGCCAAAGCAATCCTAAGCAAAAAAAAAAAAAAAAAGCTGGAGGCATAGCACTACCCGACTTCAAATTATGTTACAAAGCTATTGTAACCAAAACAGTATGGTACTGGTGTAAAAACAGACACTCAGATCAATGGAATAGAATAGAGAACCTGGGAATTGACCCACATACTTACAGCCAACTGATCTTCGACAAAGGCAGCAAGAATATACATTGGGGAAAAGAGTTGCTTCTTCAATAAATGGTGCTGGGAAAATTGGACATCCATATGCAGAAAAATGAAACAACATGTACCTCTCACCATATACCAAAATCAACTCAAAATGGATTAAAGACTTAAATATAAGACCTGAAAACATAAAATTACTAAAGGAAAATATAGGGGAAACACTCCAGGTAGTAGGACTGGGCAAAGAGATTATGAACAAGACCCCAAAAGCACAAGCAACAAAAGACAAAATAAGTAAATGGGATTATACCAGACAAAAAAGCTTCTGTGCAGCAAAGGGAACAATCAACAGAGCAGAAAGATGATCTACATAATGGGAGAAAATGTTTGCAAACTATACATCCAACAAGAGATTAATATCCAGAATACAGAAAGAACTCAAGCAACTATACAGTTAAAAAAAAGTAAATAATCCAATCAAAAAATGGGCAAAGGAGATGAATAGACATTTTTCAAAGGAAGACATACAAATGGCCAACAGGTACATGAAAAAATGCTCAGCTTCAGTAGTCATCAGAGCAATGCAAATTAAAATCACATTGAGATACCACCTCGCTCCAGTTAGACCGGCCATTATTAAAAAGAGTAAGAATTGGGCCAAGCCCGTGGCGCACTCAGGAGAGTGTGGCGCTGGGAGCACAGCAGCGCTCCCGCCACGGGTTTGGATCCTATATAGGGATGGCCGGTGCGCTCACTGGCTGAGCACGGTGCGTACGGTCTCAAAAAAGGACAAAAAAAAAAAAAAAGTGAGAATAACAAATGCTAGTGAGGTTGCAGGTAAAGGGGAACTCTTCTATACTGTTGGTGGGACTGTAAACTAGCGTAGCCATTATGGAAAACAGTGTGAAGGTTTCTCAAACAACTACAGACAGAGCTACCATATGATCTAGCATCCCCACTGCTGGGTATATATCCAGAGGAATGGAAACCACGTTGAAGGACACTTGCACTCCCATGTTCATTGCAGCTCTTTACAACAGCCAAAGTATGGAACCAACCTAAGTGTCCATTGACGGATGACTGGATAAAGAAAATGTGGTATATATACACAATGGAGTACTACTCAGCCATGAAAAAGAATGAAATTCTGCCATTTGCAGCAACATGGATGAGTCTGGAGAAAATTATGTTAAGTGAGATAAGCCAGACAAACAGAAATACCACATGTTCTCACTCATAACTGACTGCTAGGAAGGAAGAGAGGGAGGGAGGGAGGTGGGGAGAGAAGGAGGGAAGAAAGAAGGAATGAAGGAAAGAAAGAAAAGACCACAACAGTAAGTTGAACTTTGAGAAGGAGAGAACAAACCTAAGGATGCTAGAGATGGGGGAGGGATGGAGGGGGTTTGGGAAGTGATAGGTCGGGCAAAGCGCATAAAGAAATATCATGATTTGTAAGAATGAATATGCTAATAATAAATTAAAAAAAATTTTTAAATGTGTTTTACACCTTGAATAAAACAAACAAAAAAGTTTATGTCAAGGAAAGACAGTTACTGTAATGACAAAACTAAACACAGCGCTACATTTCTCATTTCCTCCATTGTGCATTTTTTTGTTTGTTTGTTTCTGTGTTTAAGTGATTTATCCCTCTTGTTACCAACTCCTTGAACCTTTCTCTTGTATTTTGCCCTGAGGTAGCCATACTTTGTATTATTTGCTTAAAGGAAAAGAGAAAATGCCTCAGTGTCCCAGATACTCCTGCACATATTGCACTGAAAGATCTGGAACACCTGATATACTGGAGAATCTGGAGTTCAAAAGCTGAGTATAGATTTGCCCAAAAAGTTCATTGAATAACTTGGAAGCATAGGCCTGAATAAATTGGGATCAGGTAGGCCTGAAATTGTGTTTCATCTCTCCCCTTATCTAACAATGAGACTTTGGACAAACTACCTCTGTAAGCCTCCATGTCCTCTTCTGGACTGTGGATAATGACCAGATTGCTGGGGAGGTCCACTGATGAGATCACGTTTTGCAGTGTCTCCGTATAGTGATTCCTCAGAAAATGAAAATTGTCTCTTTTGACAAAAGCTTTCATTCCAGTTAGCAAATGTATTCTTTTGTATAGAAAAATAATAGTTATTTTTTTTCTTTGTATTGAGAGTTGATGGAACTAGATTTATTTCTTTTTAGACAGGAGCAAGTGTACGGGTGGTAAATCAGCTGCTTACAGAAATGGATGGTCTGGAAACACGTCAGCAGGTTTTTATTATGGCAGCCACTAACAGGCCAGGTAAGAAAGAATATAACACAGATGAGTCTAAAAACCTACAGCATTTTGTAAACGATATAATTTACATACATCCTAGTAAAGGAAGATTAAATTTTGGCAATACCTACTTGGTTCATAAGTTGACATAAAGCCTCAGAAGGCTTTGCGTAAGCTAGAGTAAAAAGCACAGTATTATTGCCTGCATTCCATGAGATTGTTTCTCTGTATTGATGCTTAGAAAGTTGTCTTGCTGGCACATTTGCAGCATATGCTTTTGACCATAAAACTATTCTCAGAATTTGTTTTCTGTCAAGACTATAAGAAGCAAGAAACAGAGACTCTTCACTGTATCTGAAACTTGAAGATATGAAGGTAGATTATTAAGGTTTTATACTGGAGCCATGCCTCTCTACTTGCTCTTAACTATTATTTAAAATCATTTTCAAGCTTAAGCATTCCGTAAGGGATTTAGAAAAGGACTCAAGACTTCAAAAGTGCTGAAGATGGCTTTTATTTTGGATCCCAAATTCTCTTCATTTTGTTTAATACTTTGCCCTCAGTATGAGCCACTCTATCATAGCTGCTCCTGCAGTGATACTTGTGGTAACTGTGTCAGCTAGTAATGATATGGTACTCTAATTGCTTGAATGTATTCATCAGTTGTCAAACTGATGTAATTTTTCATTTCTTGTAAGTTACTGTGGAATGAAAATTTGAAAGTTTGTTATGATTTATAATTTGACTCTGGTAATAACAAGATACTATCTTTGGAATCAGACAGAACTGGTTTTGAGTCTTAGTTGTATCACTTTATATCTTAATAATGGTTCTGTTTCAACCCCAAATAGTCATACCAAAGTGTCCTGTAATTCAATTCTGACACTAATGGAGTTACATCAAATCTAACCAGTTAATGGATCAGTCCTCCACAAGACTGTTCTCATTTCAGATGCCATTTGCAGAGGTGTTCTCAGGACACCCACACTTCTGACCAGCCTGTTACAAATTTGGGGATTTCCATGACCCCATAAGTTTTGATAATTCACTAGAAGGACTCACAGAACGCAGGAAAGCACTATACTTTAACAATCATAGTTTTATTAAAAAGGATGGGGGGGGGGAGCGCAGAGTTTCCATGCCTTCCCCCTGTCGAATTAGAGCATGTCACTCTCCTGGCACATCAGTGTGTTCACCAACTGGGAAGCTACATTGAGTTTTGGCATCCAGAGTTTTTATTGTGGGCTCATTATGAAGACATGATTGATTGAATCATTGACCATGTGACTGAACTCAGTCTCCTCAAAGTTGAAGCTCAAAATTACAAGCCTCTAATCACATGCTTAGTCTTTCTGGTGACCAGTCCCATTCCTGAAACCATGTTGGGGCCCACTATGAGTCATCTCATTAGCACAACAAAGACACTCCTGTCACTCAGGAAACTAAGGATTTTTGAAGCTCTATGCCAGGAACCAGGGGAAAAGACCAGCTGTATTGTGTATTATTACCACAGTAACATTGGGCATATATTACTTCATCTTGCTGACCATCATTTTGTTATCTATAAAATGAGGATATTAGTATCTAATTGGCAGAATTGTCACAAAGGTTGAGTAGTGTTAGTAATGTGTCTCTTTGTGTAGCTTTTTTGTAAATGCTGTATATATATTATATACATATATATGTATATATACATAAGTTATGTATGTATATATACATAAGTTATGTATGTATATGTATGTTATATATATATAAAACATATATTACTGTTATTGCCATTTTACCAGTTCAAGTGATGTGTAGAAACTACCTACCTTTAAGTTCCTTTATCCTTCCCCATTGATAGCATAATTGTCTTAAATACTCCCTCTCCATCCTTTGAAAACCATCTCAGACAATTTCAGATTTTTACTCTTTTCATTATTCTTTCTTCTTTCCTGATATTCCAAAGTTCTTTCTATAATTTATTTTTTATTTCAAGGACTTCCTTTTAGACATTCTTTTAGAATAGTTTGGGTCATAGCAAATTTTCTTAGTTTTTATGCATCTAAAAATGTCTTGTGAATTCAGTTACACCCCTGAATGATATTGTTGTTGGATATAGCATTCTGGTTTAATAGTTTTTTTCTTTCAACAATTGAAAAATGTTGTGCCACTTCCTTCTGGCCTCCATGGTTTCTGAAGATAAATCTGCTGTCATTCAAATTGTCTTTCCCATATAGGTAAGGTGTTTTTTCCTGCTGCTTTCCAAGGTGTTTTTCTTGTTTTTCGTCTTTTGTTTTTACTTTTATTTGTGTCTGTAGAAGATTTGTTTATATCATGTTTGGAGTTTGCTTAGTTTCTTAAATCAGTAAGTTTATGTCTTTTGCCAAATCTGGCTAATTTTTAGCCATAATTTCTTTATATAATTTCAGCTGTATACTCTTACTTCTGGAAAAAAACACATTAGAGCTTCTGTTATAGTCCCATAGGTCATTGAGGCACTGTTCATTTTTTTTTTCCATTTTCTATTTTTGAAATTGGGTAAATTTATTGTTCTGTCTTCAAGTTGACTGACTCTGTCCTCTGTCATCTCTATTCTGTTATTGAGCTCATTCAGTGAGTTTTTCATTTACATTATATTTTTCGGTTTTAAAATTTCCATTTAGTTCTTTACTTCTTTTATTTCTTTGCTGAGAATTTGTTTGTTTGTTTCAAGCATGTTCATAATTGTTTTCTTAAATGCTTTTGTTATGACTGCATTGAAATCTCATCTTCCAACATCTCAGTGTCAACTCAGTGTTGACATCTTTTGTTTCTATTTTCTCATTAAAGTTGTGATCTTGCTGGATCTTTTTATGATGAGTGACTTTTTTCCAGTTGTATCCTGGACATTTCGAGTGTTATGTTATGAAACTCTGGATCTTATTTATTTATTTTTATTTTGTTATTATTTTTTTTAAAGATGACTGGTAAGGGGATCTTAACCCTTGACTTGGTGTTGTCAGCACCACGCTCACCCAGTGAGCTAACCGGCCATCCCTATATGGGATCCGAACCTGTGTCCTTGGTGTTATCAGCACCACACTCTCCCGAGTGAGCCACGGGCCAGCCCGTTCTGGATCTTATTTAAATCTTCTCTTCTACCAGGCTTTCTCTGACACTGTGTCAGCAGGGGAAAGAGTAGCTGCCTCACTGCTGCCAGATGGGAGTAGAAGTCCAGGTTCATCACTCAGCCTCTATTGACAACACCTGGTGCAGTTGTGCCTCATTTGTACTGGGTGGGGTGGAAATTCAGGCTCTCCACTAGGCCTCCGCTAGCACCACCTTGACTAAGAGGAGGAAGGGTACCTTCTTACTCTTCCCCCCATGTCCTCCAATGATGACACTCTGTGGGGGGACCTCTTCACCTCTGTGTGGAGATGAAAGTTCCATTTCCCCATTCAGCCTCCCCTGAATACCACCCCAGCAGAGAGTATGGGACATCTTATTAGAGCCAGGCAGTGGCAGAAGTCTATGCTCCCTGAATGGCCTCTGCTAGCATGGGTAGTGGTGGGGCCACGGTTTTCCCATGGTGTTTGGCTGCAGTATTGTAGTTACAGTCTAACAGTGTCTTACAGACGGCCTCACTCTTGGTCCTTTAGCCGAAGAAAGCAGACTTCTGAAGGGATTTTTTTGTCTGTACAGTTGATATTTTCAGGTTGTCATATTTACCAGCACCCAGTCAATGATATATTATACAAAATGAAAACCCAAGGAACTAATCATCTTCTTATTACTTTTGAGGTCCCTAGCCAGTCTTCCTTCTTCCCTCCCTCTTTCAGAATCTTCTTTGGCTTGTTTTATATATAGTATTCAGGATTTTTAGCTGTTCTTTGTGGAGAACAGGGAGAAGTGCATATATTCCATCTTGTCCCAAAAGCAAAAGTTCTGATTTGCTTTTAAAAAATTATTCTGTCTGCTGTTTAATGAGGCAAGAGCGAAAGTAGTTGTTCTTAACCTTGGGGATCTATAAACCTGATGTGAAAAACTTTGATCTTAATTTTTGCCAACCCCTAACTGAATTTAGCATTTCCTTATATTATGAATGTAGGCAAAAACTAGTATTAGCAATACGTTCAACTGTCACCAATAGAAATCATAAAATTCTATCCTTTATCACTTTACAGTTGTTGCAGATATCACAAAATACCCTTTACACTCATTTAACCTCAGAATTACAATTTTATTAGATGTGATGCTTGTAAATGTATTAATAAGATGCATGTATTGCTAATATATGTTAATAGTTTTTCTGTTTGATAACTTTTAATACCATTGATTTTTTTGTAATCTTATGTATTTTACTTTATGCATTTGCAAAAGTTTGAGAAGCAGTCGATAAACTTTACTGTATTCCCAAAGGGGTCCTTGACACAAAACATCCTCTGATTTAGAAGATGTACAGTCCAGGGTAGAAGTGATCTGGGCTTGGTGGGAGAAGTAAGAAGTGGTAAATTTTGGGATAATTTTGAAAGTAAAATTAATAGGGTTTGCTGGAATTAGATGTGCGATGTGAGAAAGAAAATAAACGATGGTTACTTAGTGTTAGATTTTTTTGACCTCAAAAACAGTAAAAAGTTTTGCCTCTTACTGAGATAGGGAACACTTGGAGAGAAGTAAGTTCATTTTCAGCTCTAAAATATCTGTTAAAGGATATGAAAATGAATCTATTTTATTTTCTTTATTAGTTCATGTTATTTAAAACTCAATAATAACTAGGTTCTTGGAGCACCTGCTAAATACTGGGCATTCTAAGTGCTTTACCATGTTAAACCTCATAACAACCTTGTGAGGAATGTGCAGACAAGAAGTCTTTAAAAAGTTCATGGAAAGATTCATATTATCTTTTAATTCCATTAATCCATGAACTTCTGGAAGTAATCTCATATATATACATATTACTGTTACAAAAATTAAAGGTCAGTGAGGTTAAATTATTTGCCCAAGGATACATAGCCAGTAAGTGGTGGAGCAGAGATTTAAATCTCGGTCTGTGTAATGCT